CATTCTCGTCTCGGAAGTAAATCACGCGAGACTCGGAATCGTTTCGACCAGTTCAGAAAACGTAGAACCACGAGCCATTCGGGAGTTGGTACCTAGAGGGACGAACGCCCTAGGTTCTATGTTTTAACCAATGGCGCCAAGCGGCCACAATACACCGCGTGGCAGTATTGTTACCTCAGTTGTAGCACCGGGAGAATATATTCATTTCGATCTACGATCACAAATATTGAAAGAACTGTTGAACTCTTGTTATATGACTAGTGACTTGTCAGACTTGCAATTAGACATTCATACAGACAGATGTGCTTTAGATAAGTCTGGATGTATTCATGTCTGGCCTATTCAGTGTAGAATTGCAAATCTGCCAAATAGCAAGCCAATCGTTGTAAGTATGTTTATAAGGGTAAGCAAAAACCATCTGACTCAAATATTTTCTTTAAAAAACTTATCACCGACATTGGGTGTCTTATTTCTTCTGGTGGCATTACTTTTAATAGTTCCACGGTACCAATTACAGTACGAAACTTTATAGCTGATGCACCAGCTCGGGCATTTGTACTTAATCATGCCGGACATGAGTCTTTCAAACCTTGTTCGAAATGTACAATTCGTAGCGTTAAAGCAGATGGTCGCACTGCCTTCACCGGTGTTGATCACTCTCTACGTACCGATGACGAATATGTTAGATGTGCAGATGAACAACATCACAAAGGTGTAAGTCCTTTATCTCTGATACCAATGGGACTGGTATCCCAGGTTCCTTTTGAATACATGCATATTGTGTGCCGTGGTGACATGAAAAAGTTATTCTCTGCCTGGGTACATGGCAAGTACACTCGTTCAACAAAATTATCCAGAAGACAGATTGAACTCATGTCTTCAAGAATGCATATCTTGTGCAAATATTGCCCTTCAGATTTTGCACGACGTCCTAGACCCATACAAGTCTACCTCAAGTATAAGGCTACAGAGTTCCGCCAATTTCTTCTTTACACGGGACCTGTTGTTACATTTGGTGTGCTGAACGAGGAAGTGTACAC